AATTTTTATGTAGCGCAATTATAACCTAAATTAGCTGAAAATAACCCTAGAACCTAGAGGCTACTGTTCCTTTAACGGCTCGACCTATGCTCTTAATAGTCGGTGTATAGTGTGATGGGCAGGAAACCCATCACCAGTGCGAAATTGGAGGTCCAGGGTTCAACATTAACTTTTTATTATACTAGACCATCGGGCTAGTAAGTGAGGAAACCCACTAGCCCTGACCTAACTTTCACTAGCCCAGACCCAGACCATTGTTATGGAAAACTTTATTTAGATTTGTGTCATCGTATGAATTCATAGATGCTGTTTCTCGCGCTTTAAATCGCGCATGGGCCGAGTTCACGTGCAGCATTCGTATTCTACCACGGGCATACACGAGCGCACGGTTTATCGATCGTCTACTGCGGCTGGCAGCAAGCCACGTTATTGTTTTTGCCGAAGAGTAGACTGGTATCCGGCCTCACGCTCTGTTAGACAATGTACACGCTCTGCGACAAACAGTGCGGCCGCGAACCAGTCTAGCCAGAGGTGACTTTTCAGTGCAATATATATGACAAATTATAACACGACCAGTCGGGCTACTAGCACTCGGGTTGTATGCGACCGGACCAAGCATTTACCCGACTAGGTCGGTCGGGTGTGGGTTAGTGTCGAACCCTGAGGTCACAGGTCAAAGGGCAGTGGGGGAAAGGTCAGATATCACACATTTTCTGAGGACATGGGCTAACGGACAGAGTGAACAACTTTTTTGTTTCAGCGCTGACCTACTATTTTTATTACTTTACACCATGAAATGTGCATTCCACTGACGTGCGAATAGTAAGTGTCTGATAACCTTTTGACCCTCAAGAGGAGGGTTAAACATGGATTCCTGAACTGCCTCAATGATGTCACAGTGTTCTCATATTCATGGCACATCCATAATCTGGAAAGCCAGTGAGCCTGGATAGCCCAACGGCTACAGCACAGGATTAAGGCTTAAAGGTCCTTGGATCGAATCCCATCAGATTTTTTATTATTTACCTGTTTTTTTGTATTTTTCTATCTTTATGCATTTAACTATTTCTTTCCAATTAAGGCAAATATTTACATGATTTATTTACAACAATTTCATAACAACAAATAATTTTGTGTTGCACCATAAAACCATTAATACCATAATACCATTTGGTGCACCATAAAACAGGAGTTTCAGGCACGCGATTTGTATCAACTAATGGGATTTGGGAGGTGAAATGATGTGTACGCAACTGCGTATCTGCGCCTAACAAAGGTGTGACTACGCACGACTTAAATGTTACGTTTATAACCGTAGCAACAGACCTCAGATGAGCCCAGACGCTCTGCGGCTCTTGTTTAGAATATCGTTTTACTGCGCTAATCTGTGGCATTTTTTGTTAGATAACCGACCTCGTGCACCAAGACAGGACCGTGGCGTGAAGTTTGGTGGCAGTCAGATTGACAATCTGTCTGCAGAAGAGAGGCGAAACCGGCGGAACCGTGACGACCGAGATGTTAAAGGCGACCAGGAGAGATCATTCCCGCAAACTGGAGAGTTTAGGTAGATGGCGTTCTTCTTTTGCATGCATTATGGAAAACCACCAACCGTCAGTGATGTCTAGAAATGGGGGAAGTCTGTAGTGAAGTGTGGTTTGGAGTAAATTATACATGTGTCCTAGCAAATCATTGATTATTTTACAACCTGTAGTTAAATAGTAAAGCTTAAATAGTAAAGCTTAAAGTTAGCATCACTGCAGCATCTGGTAGTCTTGTGTTTTAAACTTATGTTCAGTCCGTGGTTATGGTCTTGAGTGGCTGCACCAAATATGTGCAGGTCAGGAACCAGATTGCAGAAGGTAATCTAATTAATCTAGACTAATTGAAATAGTTGACGTACTTTGAGATGAAAACATCATCAGAATGACTGTACGTTGTGTTTCTTTGCAGTGTATCCGGCAGTGAGCGACAGCATCCTGATGGTGGCGGCAGGGGGGCACCGAGGGGACGAGGAGGGTTTCGGGGACGCGGAAGCAGAGGACGAGGGCGGGGTGGTTTTGGCTACGAGAACCGAGGAAAGCGTGAGTTCGACCGTCAGAGCGGCAGCGACAAAACGTAGGTCTAGCAGCGTGGCTTAAAAATGTAGGATATAGGATTGGATTGTACTTCACCTGTCCTGCTAGTAGATAAGCCCTCCTCAAAGAAAATTCTAGTTAACAAAGTTTCGTGTTGTTCTATTTCAAATTTTAAGTCAAATATTGTTTATTTTAAAACGTATTATGCCTATACTTGGGCAACGATTTCCTACAGTATGTTGTATGTACCCTAATATGACTTGCACAGGTTTCTCACATCCAAGGTGATTTTTTTTGGTTTACATGGAAAATTCAATGTCTACCTTAATATAAAAAAGAAATAACTGACCGTTTGTCTGTTCGTTAGAGGTTGATAGATCAAGGACCTGACACCAATCGTAGTTCTAAGTATGTGACGATGAATGAAGTAAACGTCAGTTCTATCAGCCCCATGACATGGTCAGGTGTCACCTATTACTGTTAAGATTAGGGGTGGGGGGGGGGATTGTAGCTGTGGTTGGTGCCCTTTGTATCTTATTTTCTTTGTTTGCTAGTTTCCATCATTGGCTTCTGTATTAAAATTTTAGTCCTTAGCATACGTAATAGCTTTCTGGGTTGACCCCTCTACCAGCAAACGACGGCGTTTTATTTTGTTTTTCAGAGGCCCTCTTTTCTTTTTTTACCTCATTTATATTACTATGGGGACCCATTTGTTGCCCCACTTTTTCCAGCAGTGGCGTGAAGTCAATTGACAAGCGTGAAGGCGGCGGGTCGCACAACTGGGGCAGCACTAAGGACGAGATCGATGAACAGATCAGCGCCGTGGAACAGGACACACAGGAGTGGAGGCAGCAGCAGACTGAGGAGGCTGCTGGACACCCGGAAGGCGATGAGTCAAAGTATGTGCCGCGCTGCGTTCATCGTATGTCGAAGAAGACTAGCAAGTCTGTATGTGCAAGGGCGTCGCTCGGTAGCATGTGGGGTATATTAGGGTTTATGCTATTCAGAGTTCGAGCCGCAAAATTAGGTATAAAACCTAATGTGTTGTCCCAACAACGTATTAGCCAGCGAGCCGTGCAGCCGTGATTTGCACAGTCAGTTTTGAAACTGCACGGCCAAAAAAAAAGTTAATATTTTAAGAATAAAAAAAAAATCTTTTACCCTCTTATACTCCCCCCTCCCCCCTGTGAACGCCTATGGCGGTTTTGGCTGAGACACACAAAAATATTACACTCCCAAATATTTTTTCTGCTCTCCCACAATACCCATTCCTGGCTAATACCCTGTGTCCCAATGGTTAAAGGTTGTGTTGCAGACATTCTGTTTGGAGACATTTCACAAAATAGATTGATAAGGTAGTGCTAGTTTTAATTCAAAATGTGATGAGTGATGGGTTGCGAGTGCATTCATTCCAGTGACCTTGACCTACTTGTTTCTAGCCAATTATAAATTAACAGATTTCCACAGTGGTGCTTTTGATAGAAAAATTGCAGCTGGATTTATTTTTCTGATGCTAGGGAAACCGTTGAGGGCGATGAGTCACAACTAGAGCCTGCTGAACCGGAAGTGAAGGAGTTGACCCTGGATGAGTGGAAGGCTCTGCAGGAGCAGCAGCGCTTCAGGACAGAGTATAACCTGCGCAAACCCGGTGAGGGAGAAGACAATGCACAATGGAAGAAGACCTTCATGCTGAAGAGGCCAGAGAAGACTGAAGAGGAAAGCGACGAGGAGGTAGGTGGCGCAGACTAGGCGGGATGGGCAAAAATATTTGCTGCTGTGGTATCGTTATCAGTTACTGTGTTGTGTTAAATGTGTGGTGTGACATTAAATTTGCAATTTGTACTTGGTGTTTGTTCCCTGTGGAAGTATGTCATAAAGGGAATAGATGCGCCCTTGCCTTGTGACTATAGTAATTTACAAACATTGTGCTGGTACATTGCAGCAATGGGCAATCGATGCGTTAGACGATAGTGACCAGGAAGATATCTTACTGATCAAGTGGCATTTACAGGCAAGCAGCACTTGATATGTCTACCGTAATCATTAGCGATTGTATTTCTTGTATTACAGGAAGAAGAGGACGCACATCACGGCCGCGCAAAGCAAAAGGTGAACATCGACATAACCTTTAACGATCCCATCCGTCGTGGCGGACGCGGCGGTGGTGGCCGCGGCGGACCGCGCGGAGGTAGTCGCGGGTTTGGCCGTGGCCGCGGCGCTCGCCCTGATAGAGGTGGCGCTGCCGCCGGCGGCGGCGGCGGTGGCGGCGGCGGCGGAGGGGGTGTTGGCATTGGCATGGGCGCTTCCGGCGGTCCTCCCGCTCGCGGTGGCCGCACTCCAGAGAAGCCGGCCTATAAGGTTGATGATGAGAGCGACTTCCCGTCCCTGGGCAAGTAAGCAAAAGGAATGTTCCCCCCGGTTGGGTAGTCGATGGACCAACTGCTTGGTCTTCATTGAGGTGTTGGAGCTACATGCATACCTCGCAACGGAATGTGCTTTTTATTTACACATACTTCCAGGCATGTTGCTCTGTAAAATAAAGCCCAGCTTTTGTTAATCGTAGTCCCAATATTATAGGTTTCCCATAATCATGACTTTATTACCGTGTATTAAACTTACTACGATGATACAAGTTTTCTGCTGGATGGAGTATTTTTGCAAGTTATGCCAAACGGAATGCAAAGAACTGTGACATGTCAGTTAGAAGCATGTGAAGCTGTTGGAGGAACTGAATGTATTTTAAACAGTTATAGGAGTATTTAAAAGTTTAAGTATCATTAGACATTACACTGTAAACTGACAATTTTACAGTATATTAATTTATAGAGCACTGAATTGCACGTGCTTTTGGACGTTTAACGACTATGGTGTGTAGTGTTTAAACATTAATGCTTTCGAAATGGGTCACACTTAGATCTACAGTTTTCTACATTGTAGTCCCCATGTTAGGTTGGATTGTCGTTCCAGTGGGTAAGGTGCCCATATATGCATCATTGAACCCTGTTATCTTCATGTAAGTCATAAATGTGTAACCACGACAACATGTAAGGACACCGTGTACTGGGAGGTAACCAGATGCATTTAATCTGGTGTGTATGTATTTCTGTTCTATGTGTAGAAGTTGAACTGTTCAAATATCACAGTTCGGTCTATTCTTCTGTGCTAAGTGGTAGCACAAAGGAACAGTTTTTTTCGGCAGAACTGTACTAAGTGTCCTGCCATTTGTTTGAAAGGTAAATATTTTTTGGGATGCTCCAATTTCGAGCAACTGTCGTTTTGCCGAAATTAACATATATTGCACAAAATTTGTGCAAGGGATGCTGGTAATATTGCAGAGTGAGTTGAGAGACGTTCAGGGCAACCTCAGCCGTCATGGGTCTGAAGTGCAGTGAGGTATAGCAGCTTCTATTACTCAGTGTGTGTAGTGTTTTAGTGTCTTTATTAGTTAAATGTAGATATCTCCTTAGCTATCCTGTTGGTTCAACTAGAAAGCAGAGCAAAAAGAGGTTCATAGCAGTACCACAGATAGCCTGCAATATTCAGCAATCGTTCGATCATTGTAGGGTCATGCACTTTGTCATTTGGAGTGGTATACTGTAATACAGAACAACAATCTTGTGATATTTGGTGGACATTTCATACATGCCTGATGCATTCGTTTGAGAATATGCTTTTGATTGTTTAAGTTGTAATAGCAACATTGGCCATGGCGATGTGTAGGTTCAGAATGGGTAATATCGTCATAGCAACAAGTATGTCCTACAAGCAGCATGAATCCGAAGGTATGTGACAAATAAATAAAAGCCTCGTTTGATGTTAATTATGCCTGAAAATGAGTTCTAATCAATGATTTTAACCAATGCAATACGAAAAACCACAATGTTCCTGTCGGATAAGATATTTACTAAAGATGCAACTTAAACACATAAATTCATGCAAACATAAAAACTAGCAAGCATGCATGCACTGTAAAACAGTACATGATGTTCCACTCTTCTTTGGTCCTCTTAAAACCTCACTAGATTAAATTTTGAGCTGCAACAGTGGCGTGTGTAAAATTCCATCTTTTTGAAAGAATTTCACTGATCAAAGGTGAACTAAAAAAAGCTTTCATGCTACCGTTAACTTGAAATTTCATATTAATATTAAACAGATTCTTTGTGTCTAGAATCTAGACCATGTCACAAACACATGACTGTCAACACTTACCATTTATAGATTTTAATTTCATTCACAACTCGACAGGCCAATGCTAGCATTTTCAACTGGGCAGTTGCATTCTGCTCCATCTAATGAGATTCAGTCCTACAGCAGGCAGCACCACAGTAAATTTAATAAAGACTTCCAAGCGTGACATGCTCGTGGAGGTAAGAATATTCACATAGTGCGATTCTGCAAAGATACCTTAAATGAACCCTGAGCTAGTTTGTAAAAGATGGTGATAAACATTTCAATTTACACTACTACTACGTTCATGTAAATTGGAGTAGAAGAAAATATCAAATTGATAGTATCACAATTTTTACATTTATGACATCACACAGATAACAATTTCAGGATGGTATTTAGTAGGATGGAGAACTACGTGGCTGTTTCAAACAGATAATTATTGAAATACGGTAATTGAAACAACAAGTGGGACGTAACACCTCTTATAACAAGAAAGTAACTAAGGTAAACCGAAATGTCAAACTCTAGTGTAGAATTGGGGGAGTCTGACCTACTAGGTTTGCATCCACCAATCTCAACATCCAACCTACGTCCCGGGCGCGAAATTTTTCCCCCCACTTGAGTTCCGGACCCACCATAGATAGTGTTTTGTAATATATGGTTCGTATATATATGGTTGGATTATAGTTAGTGTTAGGGGTTTAGGGATAGGTATAGGTGGTATTCATTTTACATTGTTGCTTCGAGGAAGTCGAGTGAATGGAGTGCGCCGATTGGCTGTGGTCCGGAACTGAAGTGGGAAAAAAAATTCCGCGTCCCGGGCCCGGAATCGCACAAAGTCGGTGCGTCCCTTACACAGACCGAGACCCGCTAAGTAAGTTGTAAATACCTGCATATAGGCCTGAAACATAGGCCTACAATATTCCAGAAACAGTGAGTCATCTGGACATGATACAATATACACACATATTACGTTTGGATTTATGCAAACAAAATTGAGCCATAAACAGACCAGTTTTATCCAATATAAATTCATACATAAAATAAAATTGTTTTCTATACTTTATGCAATGTAAATACTGGGTGCATTATTACTTAAATAGCTGCCACTATATAAACTGCATGTGGCTATTGGTCACTGATGATATGACTACATTCAAGTCTGATGAACAGATTGAACAATTAATTTCCTCTTCAGCTTAGTATAGCTCATAGGGTCTATGTCCCCCAGGGTACTGCCAGAACGTACCCGTACCCTGGTAACTATCTGATATGGTTAGGGTTAGGATTAGGGAGTAGGCGTAGGCGACTCCCTAGACTCGTTAGTGGAGTAGGGGAGGTACGGTCCGGCATATTGGGTAGTACCAGCAGAGCATATAAATCGGGTTGATTTATATGCTCTGGTACCAGGGTACGTTCCGGTATACCGGACCGTACCCAGGGTGCGTTCCGGCAGTACTCTGGGGTACATAGACCCTCTCAGCCTTAGTATAGCTGAAGGGGTCGTTGTCGTATAGGGTACCCTAACCCTAACCCTATCATATCATATCATATATCTAAGTTAGATGGTTAGTAACCATATCAGATAGTTACCTCGGGTACATATGTGTAGTACCCTATACGACAACGACCCTTTCTGCCTTAGTATATGATGAGCCAATCTTATCATGTACATATGTTTGTCTTAATGTTACATGGTGGACTTCAGCCATTTGTGCAGACAAGCGCCTTGATTGAATTCGAAATGCGAAGGAAGCTTTTGCGTAATATAAAAAATATATATTGGCATATCACATTGACAATAAACATTGATATAGTGCTGATAAGTTACGCAAAAATAACACGAGATCGAAGACGAATTCATTCTTGGCGCTTTTACAATACACTGACATCGTGAACTTTACTGTACTGCGTATAATATAATTGTTACAAAACCCATGAGAATTGATCTAGACCCGTTTAACACTACGACTGAGTTATGTCATAGAAGTGCTTATATTATAGTTATTACAGATATGTAGTTTACACACACAATTCACAGGGTGACTCACACACCTAGCCCTACTCATATCTGGTGTGTTCAGTGCTTTTTCATTGACTTAGGAATCAATGTGATACAGTATAACCAGCATGGCGGTCAAAGAGTATATGTTAGCTCTATTTAATCATAAGAAGGGGCGTACCTAGCTACCTATACGCAAAGTACGCAAATGCGTACTAAAATTGTTCAGAATAAAAAAAATACATGACCTTTTTACTAAAACAAAATAATATAACGTTTAGTTGGGCTTAGAGAATTATGCGTGTGATAAGAATAATGACTACAGTGTCATTACGCCAGATGGTCGGAAGGATTTCAGTAAAAATAACAACTTTGACAAATTTGAGTTCAATTTTGCGTACCATCAAAAAATGTCTGGGTACGCCCCTGATAGGTGATATTATTGCCAATAATTATTATTAAAGAAAAGGTACATTAATAACAGGTTACCATATAAATCTGTCTGCTATTCATCCATTCATTCTATGCCATTTATTCATTCCTAGATGAGTTGTTAAGACCAGGTGAGAACTAGAACATGGAACGCTAGCCAAAAATGCACAGAACAAAGTAAACCTTGGCGTAAAAGTCATGCCTTCGTCTTCTCCTTCTAGGACTACACCTATTGTAGTTTGACTACGAACCGGGTTTCAGTGATTTGTAGTGTAGTCCATTGCTGTAAGATATTTTTCTTCGATTACCTTTGGAATCAACAGGTGCCTACGAGAGCATTGAAATAAAAAAAACATGCAGTAAGGAAATGTGAAAATGACTGTAGAGACATACTTAGGATTGTGTTTAATCACCAAAAAATAGGATTTTTGTCTTTTTTACGGATGTAAGGATCTAATGAATAATATTTCTAGACATGTATTTTATGGCTTATTTCGAAATAATTTTGACAAGTTATTTCTCATAGAGTCCAAGAAGGCCTACCAAAACTTGATAGGTGCAGGAAGTATATATATTAACATTGCACCACCAGTGCAAAACAATATATAAGTATGGCCTACAGCCTAAGTTCAAATTATATCTATGAAAAATAATGACCGAGTTATAGTAGAAAAGATTATTATTTCTGGGAACGCTCGCTTACCTGATGGGGAGGAGGAGGAGAATAACAACAGGAAAGCCCATTTTGAGGTAGGGCCACCTTGCAAAGCCGAATCCACAGATAACAAGTAGTTGTAGAACCTGCAGAAGTGTGAATATGTGCACCTTCTTCTTCGGTACTCGCCTCAGGTAGTGGTTTGGCGGGTATGCAGACTTGAAACACAAAGAAACAAGTTATGCACTAATCGTCGCAATATAGATTCACTGTTATGACGTGATGTTTTTAATAATGGTACACGCATAGTATATTATATATATTATGTGTACAATATAATAGTGGGTTTACTGTGCTATTCTTAATAAATTAATTGCATTCGTTCTACTGTTTAATTTAACTGAGGGACAAATAACAAAAAAGAAAATAACAACTAAAACTGTATAATTGCATAAAGGTCAAGAATAAATTGATTTTCAAGCTACATTATTCTGAAAGTGATTAAGCCCCATTTGAGACCATCTACCTACAATCAGAAGTGACATGAACCTAAATATATACTAGTGTCTACTGATATAACAAATACATGCATACTAGCTAAATAGTATACATAGGTTCATAGCAGTACATCACACTAAAAATGCAAAAAAACAACACTAGGAACGCTTTCAGAATATACTTTCAGACTCGGACAAAACCCTCAAGGAAAGCACTGCCGCAAGCACTAAGAATATACTTTCAGACTCGGACATAACCCTCAAGGAAAGCACTGCCGCAAGCACTAAGAATATACTTTCAGACTCGGACAACCCTCAAGGAAAGCACTGCCGCAAGCACTAAGAATATACTTTCAGACTCGGACAAAACCCTCAAGGAAAGCACTGCCGCAAGCACTAAGAATATACTTTCAGACTCGGAGAAAACTCTCAAGGAAAGCACGCGCATTGATATACCTGCTTTCCTGCCACCAGCAGCAGCACTGCGCTCGTACATCTGGTTGCCGTTGAGTGCGGTGACAGCCATGTAGAGAAAAGGCCATCGAGGACGGCCTGCGGGATGTAAGGCGATCTGCGGGCGTGCGCAGCAGCAGCAGCAGAGCACGCATGAGGATGTGTGACAGAACGCCGGTCAGCCGAGTCTCGCGCGCACGGCCGGACGATGCTGTGAAATAAAATGAATAATATTGCATTGTAACATAGCTGCTGTGTGTGCGCGCGCGTGCATGCAGGTGTGCGTGTGCAAGTATATACATGTCTTGTATCTGCATGTCTGTCTGTATCTGCATGTCTGTCTGTCTGTTCTATCGCGTCTGCCTGTCAGGCCGCCCGTCAGACAGATAACCGGTAGATAGCCAGCAGTAGAGGGCACAATCTACACACCGTTCATATAAAAAAACAACACAATATGACTAAGATTGTAAATTAAACTGAATACAATCAGAAACCACATAAAACCAGATGTGGTTGTTGGATCGATAATACTACAAACTCACTCAACAACAGTACAGACTTTGTTTACTTCAAACAGCTATGCTCTCATTAAAGTTGGCATGTATAGGGGCCTACAGATAGTAGGCCTACATAACAATCTCCACTGTCTTTTGTTTTATAAATGATTAACATACAATAAACAGCAAATGAAAAAGAAGGTTGTTGTTAGCACACACAACACATACCCAAGCATGAAAATACTCAGACATGCAAAAATATACAAGATAAAAAAAAACCAAATTACTGAACGATAGGCCACACACACATGGTTCATACAGGACTGAAATTTTTTTCAAGGACTTTTTAAGGACTTCACTGATTTTAGTGACTTACTGTAATTTGTGATCATCATTGAACTGTCTATCGTGTCTATAGCCTTGTGTAAGCTCATCTAACGCAATTTTTATTGAGGTTTACACATTAATGATGTTAGCAAAATTTCTTTTTATTACAGGCAATGATTCTTTCTAAAAATTCAAGGACATTTTCATGAAATCAAGTACTTTTTCAAGGACTCCCCTCAAATTCAAGGACTTTTCAAAGAACTGTGCGAACCATGACACATGATTATGTTTGAACAGTTTGTAACAAAGAATTAGCACTGAGATCGCTGCTATTATAAACATGACATTGTTGTCTGAGGGTCATAATGCAATAAATTGTCACCGATTGCAAAATGTTCATTCACGACTCGTCACAAGTGTATTATTGCGGAATAATACCTGTTTCCAGAGTTTTCATCAGAACTAGTGGAGATGCGCCACGTTTTGTGAGACAATCCGCTAACTGAGTGTCAGTGTTGCTCATAGGGTCTATATGTCCCCCAGGGTACTGCTGGAACGTACCCTGGGTACGGTCCGGTATACCGGAACGTACCCTGGTTACTATTTAATATGATTAGGGTTAGGATTAGGGTTAGGGTTCAGGTTCGGGTTAGGGTTAGGGAGTAAGCGTAGGCGACTCCCTAGACTCGTTAGTGGAGTAGGCGAGGTACGGTCTGGCATATTAGATAGTACCAGGGTACGTTCCGGCAGTACCCCGGGGGACATAGACCCTCTCAGCGTCAGTGTTAGACCACCTAATTTCTCGAACATGTCCACTTTCGATCACGTCTTTAATTCCACTTATTTCTATCCTCAAACGTTTCTCTGTAACAAATTTTGTAGACTTCATCGCCTCACATAATGACTTGCAGTCAGTTACACAGACCAGTGGTATTGTCATGGAATCAGGCACTCCAGTGGTAAGCTCTGCGAACAGTGCCGACAAAAACACACCTGTGTCTATACCATGCATCAGCCAAAGAAAGTGTCTCTGCGGCTAGGGTACTACGGACGACCCTACGAATTTTCTTAGAATTCCAACATATTGGCACCAGTTTTCCATGTTCATCAACTAGAGTCCTGTCCTTCAAGACGTTGGAACTTGAGTGCTAATTTCTCAAAGTTGACCTCTTAATCAGCTTATTAGCATCCAACAGATCACTCACTTTAGCATGTTTGATAGTCGCTGCCAAGTTACTAGCATCAAATATTATGATATCTGGTCTACTCTGGTCACAGTCTGGTGTGCTATCCACAGAATCTGACAGACTTTAGACCTCAATATCTGACGCTCGCTGTCCGTTACATCTGCATCTTTCTGCAATAATCTGGCCTTGTCAATCTGAATAGGTGCACGACTCCCAGCGTATTCGTTCTGGTCGAGATAAATGTCCCCATTCTTGTACGAAAGATTCATGCTGATATATTTGAATGTTCCAGCATCTTCTCTACTAACATTGAATGTTGTCCTGATACTTTCAATGATTGTTGTTTGAAACTCAGGAGTTCCTCCCCAAATGAAGTCGTCCACATGACAAGCCAGTACTCCCATCAATCTACCAGACTCGTCCAACCAGTAGAACACGGCCGGATCCACTTTGGAAACTTTTGCACCAAGATCAATCATGACAGTGCGCACTCTGTTGTACCAATACAAAGATGCATCGTTCCATTGACTGTGGTTTCCAATTGTTGTTTGCGATGATGGCTAGAATCATTTTCAACGATTCCACCACACATGTTGGCGAGTCCTTCTGAATGTCAGTTGCAATCTCCTCAAACCCCCGGGCAACCAGTCTCGCCTTCGGTATGATGCCCCCAGGAGTGTCTTTCAGGGTACACACCCAACGTGTTGATAGACACTTTTGTCCAACATCCTCTACTTCCTCAAAGACCTCATATTTTCTCCAGTTTTCAATTTCTGCTAACTTTGCATCGTTAAAAGAGACATCGCTCGTCACTAGTACGCTGTCATCCACTTGCTGAGGTTGTGGTACATGAATGTAGGGCCCAACAACATTCACATCTGATAGTTGACTTATATCAACTGGCTGTATTTCACTCTCGGAGTTGTCACTATCGACATATTCCAAATTGTACCAATGTTTATATTTTCCATTCGCTTTTCCGGCTCGACTAAGAACTGTTGCAGTAACTGTTGCCCCAGTATCTCCATCTGTATATGTAATTACCTATCCTGCTTTCACCATTGGTGTACATGCGGGTACCTGTATTGTACCCGGTGCTTCATGATCATCATCCGACGCATCATCAGCGACCACAGTTTCAGTGTGTACAGTCGTGTGTTCTGTATTTGTCGGGGTGATCTCCCCTGTTGGCTCCTTGCAATCAATCTCTGGATCGGCCACCTTTCTAAGTCTACACTGATGAACGCGAACCACTAGACCGCCATGTCGCACGACAACTACCATACCATCTCGTCCAATGACAACAGCAGGACCTTTCCACTCCAGACTGTCAGGACGCTTGTAGTAGACTCTATCACTAGGGTAATAGACTGCACATATGAGCCGGATTTGCTTTCGTAACACCCGTCTAATGCGCTCAGAACTTTGTGCCTCCGTGAATGCTCTCCTGGCCTCGAACAATGACACAATATGTTCTCCAACCACTCGACTGCTAGTTTGTCCTTCTAGTGCAGGTGGTTTATCTGTTAGGACGGATGGCAAATTGGGGTTGAGACCAAACACCAGCTGATAGGCACTGTAACCATGAACGTTACACAGACTGTTCTTGGCCATGAGTGCCCAACAGAGGGCAGTCTCCCAATCACAGTTTCTCTCGGATTTTACTTTCAAGAGAATCGAAGTGAGTGTCTGATTGTGTCTCTCCAGAGCACCATTGCTTCATGGGCTGTATGCCGCAGTCGTCTTCACTTCAATGTTGAAATTCTCGCACATGTCGTGTACCTCCTTATTGTTAAATTCAACCCCATTGTCACTGTACAATTTCTGTGGAGTGCCGAAGATACTGATTCAATGATGAATGAATTTCTTCACAAATACTGAGCTCTGTTTGGTTCTGACAATATCTCCAGCACTAAGTCGAGTAAATTCATCCATTATGTGAAGATACCATGTCGACGTGTCCATGCCACTGCCGGGAATCCCACTGCCGGTTTTGGAGGTGGTTTGTTGTGTTTTAGACAGATTTCACTCTTTTTGGTCACATCATCAAGTAGTTTGGGAATTTCCGGATTCTTGGGACCAGCGCTTTCGATCAGTTTCTGAAGTTTAGCAGCCGACGTATGTCCAAATTGCTTGTGGAGTTTGATTAGTACTTTCCTAAGTTCAGCTTCAGTCTTAGCATCATCAACGATCAAAACGTCAGCAGTTGTAAATTTGTCTCCACACACCTGACTGTCTGTTGCGTCCGAGTCGACAGCCTGTTTCTGCACATTGATAATGTAGTGTCCACTGGATGTGTACTCTAGCTTGACTGGCTTGTCAAACATCGTAGCCTTGTCTTTGTTGATATCAAGTACAGTTCTGGCTTTCTTTAACGATGTTTTGCTGAGCAAGAGTGGTAGGTCAACATCAACCACTTCAGTGTCAATCTGACATATAGTGTCACCAATAAGTACAACATTTTGGTATGATTTTACCTGAGCACCGTCACCAAAACGGAAAGCTCGTCCACTACATTTCGTACTCACTGATTGTTTGTCTTCATCATTCAAATTGTCCACATAGTTCTCCAACCATTTTCTGCCACAAACAGTGCGAGTGCATGCAGTGTCTAAACTGTCTATAATTGCAGCACCATACGACTCAGCCATGAATACTTGTTGCATAGCATTTTCCTCTTGTAGTGTGAAATTACAGCTCTCACCTGTGGCTGTGCTGTCTTCTGTTACTTTCACTTTCTCGGCGTCTGAACGATGTTCACAATCTTTCGCCCAGTGGAATACAGACCGACAAATAGCACACTGTGAACGTCGCCCAAATCAATCAAAAGGGTTCGTGCCAGTCTTTGGTGTGTCGCGCGTGTCTCGTTTGTCGCCAGGATTTCCTCCAGATTTGAGAGGATAGTAAGGTGGCTTCTTCTTAAACTGACGAGTGTACAACACCGATTCCTGCTTGATCGATATAGGTGTGTCACCAAATCGCCCAGTTGCACTGTCATTAATTGAATAGGGATCGCGCCAAAAATTATTTTAAGTGCGAACTTCAGTCTCAAATTTCAGATCTGGTGCGGCAGTATGTGCTAATTGTCTATCTTTCGGTAGTAACTCGGTTGTACTGTCTAATAGTTTGAACGTCAAAACCGCATCTGGTAATACCATTTCGTACTGCTTGCACAGGTTGTATCTTCGTTCGAAATCCACAATGTAGTCCGCCATGTTTGTTCCAGGGCTCATTTTGTAGTTTTCAGTCTGCGTAAGCGGCGTACAAAAGATCGACTTAGTCACGGCAAAACAATTAACTTATCTAATTGCCCAATCCCTTATCCTTGTTTAGATCTGCAACCTTAATTTCCAAAGCCTTGGCCCGTGCTTGGCCTTGTAAACATAATGTCACAGCAAGCGCCTGGCGCTTTTTTTCCAAGTCCGTGATGAGGCGCCTGTAGTAGTCTGTGACTACTAGTACTGCTGCGCCCACCGGGCGCCATCTGTGGCGTTATCTTATTGGAATAAAGTTAGTTCCTGTTCCGGTATAAACATGTGTTAATCTCTTTGATAAGTTTCTGATATAAATCCACAATAGTCGTGACCACAGATCACGACAGCGCCAAACTCGATTTCATTCTTCCACGTTTCATAGTCGTCGCCTGTCCCAAAAGCAGGTGGATTTTTATAGCCTGTAGCCATAATGAATCACACAGTAGTACAAACTACCCTCTGCTACCAATGTTGGATCGATAATACTACAAAAGGAAAGCACTGCCGCAAGCACTAAGAATATACTTTCAGTCTCTGAGAACCTCTCAAGGAAAGCACTGCCGCATGTGTATACCTGTTCCTGCACCAGCAGCAGCATGCGCTCGTACATCTGGTTGCCGTTGAGTGCGGTGACAGCCATGTAGAGGAACAGGCCATCGAGGACGGCCTGCGGGATGTAAGCGATCGGGTGCGGCAGCAGCAGCAGCGAGAGCGCGATGAGGATGTGTGACAGAACGCCGGTCAGCCGAGTCTCGCGCACCCGGACGATGCTGTGAAATAAAATGAATAATATTGCATTGTAACATAGCCTGTGTGCGCGCGCGCGTGCATGCAGGTGTGCGTGTGCAAGTATATACATGTCTCTGTATCTGTCTGTCTGTCTGTATCTGCATGTCTGTCTGTCTGTCTATCTGTCTGCCTGTCAGGCCGCCCGTCAGACAGATAACGGTAGATAGCCATGCAGTAGAGGGCACAATCTACACACCGTTCATATAAAAAAACAACACAATATGACTAAGATTGTAAATTAACTGAATACAATCAGAAACCACATAAAACCAGATGTGGTTGTTGGATCGATAATACTACAAACTCACTCAAACAGTACAGACTTTGTTTACTTCAAACAGCTATGCTCTCATTAAAGTTGGCATGTATAGGGGCCTACAGATAGTAGGGCCTACATAACAATCTCCACTGTCTTTTGTTTTATAAATGATTACATACAATAAACAGCAAATGAAAAAGAAGGTTGTTGTTAGCACACACAACACATACCCAAGCATGAAAATACTCAGACATGCAAAAATATACAAGATAAAAAAAAAAAAATACTGAACGATAGGCACACACACATGGTTCATACAGGAGGACTGAAATTTTTTTCAAGGACTTTTCAAGGACTTGACTGATTTTAGTGACTAATTACTGTAATTTGTGATCATCATGCATTTAACTGTCTATCGTGTCTATAGCGTTTTAAGCTCATTTAACGCAATTTTTATTGAGGTTTACACATTATTGATGGTACA